CCAGGTTCCGAGCTGTCAGCACAGAGCCCGACGCGGGGCTTGAACTCACGAACTGTGAGATCATGACCTGAGCTGAAGTCGGCCGCTCAACCGACTGAGCCACCCAGGCGCCCGTTTTCTAAAATTTTTCAAACATCGTTTTAGAAAATGAATGAAATGTTGGAAACATTGAGCGGTTTGTTGTTCTCTACGGCCACTCAGATGAAAAGTGTTTTGTTTAGGCAACTATGGTTTGAATCAAGAACTGTGATTATTTTATGTGTCCTTCCTCACCAGTAGTGTACTTCTTATTTATTACAGGATTTCTTCAAGCAAGAATTAACTTTCACTAGCAAACTCATTGAAACTGTTCAAAATAAGCCACTTTTCTCTTATTATTCCAAAAGAAGACGTCAGTCACAAACTTAAGATGATGGCGTAGTGTTGCACCACAGGTACCCACACCCCCTCAGCCCGCAGGCTGGGGCTACGTGGTTCTAGGCGATTCTCCTGCTTCAACGGTCCCATCCCTGCCGAGTAGATTCCTCTAACAAAGCACCACAAGACAGGAGCTCTCTTTTATCTGGTGTTAGAGATATGATCCATTTTGAATAACTTACTTTGGATGGCTATTCTGGTTCAAGCTAGGGAATGAATGTGAAATAATAAAAGCGACCCTAATTGGCTTGTGGAAAAACACCGCTGTGACCTCAACCATAAACTTCACTCTAGAGCATACCAATAAATGGTTGTAATAGAAAAAATTGGAACTGAAACGTGTAAGTAGTTCTTATTATTAAATCAGCTTTTCCCAGTGCTTGTGCAACACATTGATGTTAGTTAGGAAGCCACAGTAAGTCCTTCTGGAACACTCTCAAAATGCTGTGATTAAAAAAAGAAACAACGGGATCAAACACAAAAACTGCTGTCTATGCATGTGGCTATTAAAACAGGGGCTAGTTTTAATCTGGATTTTCTTCCAGTAGTCTTGAGAATTTTGTGGCTGTTCCTACAAAAGGTAGTAGATCCTTTCAGTAGTAAGTTGAGAATCTTCCATCACAAGTAAGAAAACAAAGTCTAGCGTTATGAAGTAAAAAAGCGAAAGACTCCCCTACCTAAAATTAAGCTTCTCATTTTGATGATTTAGGCCAGGAGGGAAAAAAAACAAGCAGAATTATAAAGCCCCTGAATATAGAGTTCGGATGGTGGAGAGGGTGTGGCTGTAATTCTCATTCAAAGAGTAGGAACAGAACTTCCTTTCTTTTCTCCTAAACCAGCCACTGGTGGACTTAAAAAGCATTTAAAGATCCATTTCTTAACTTCTTCCTTTTCAGGGTAGACATGCCAAATGAACTTACGAACATTCTCCCAAAATATTTAATTATGTTTATTCTCCCTGGACCGTCAGGAGTTTTTGCATAAACTTTACGATTTAGGGACTTCAACAGGTCCAAACGTTCTAAAAGTGAGCCCCTGACAACAGCTGATGGTGAAGAACAGTCATCCTATGGAAGCTTTGCTGATCTGGTCCTTTCTTGCAGAAACAAGTTAGATGTGGTGTCTGTCATCAAAACGAGGCTTCCAAAGTAAAAGGCACCACTGGCATTTCCATCTCTGAAATCTCTGCCTTAGGTTTATGATCTAATTACAAAATAAATTATATCTGTCAAAATACTGTTTGATCTCATGATCTGGCTTGAAAAAATATATAGTATGTAGACAACAGAGCAAGAAAATATACAGTGCTATAGCACAGCAAGCTGGCCTTTTAATGAAATACTTGTGGGTGTCTGGGCCCATTAGGAAAAGAGCTAAAATATATTCTTAATAAATAATTATCAGGACTCCTGGCCTAGAAATTACAAACAGGTAAAGAAGCAGTGTATAAATTTCACTCCGTGATGGAAGTGGGCATTTCTCTTTCACAACCTGTGACACTGGTTGTGTGGCTGCGTGAGAGGGATGTGACAGACCCCAGAGAGTGCCGAGCCCTGAGACATGAGGCAGCATCAGCCCGTCGCTGGAGATCTCCGACTACGACGGGTCTCCCTGTCTTTGACAGTGTGAGCCTCAGGGGAGCTGGAAACAGAAGAGATCAGAGCAAACAGAACATGATGTCTTTTCTCTCCTTTTATGTAAGACTGCCTTAATGCAAAACAGTTCCCCAGGCGTTTTCTTCTCATAGGCAAGGAGGCAGCGGAAGAAATCACAGATGGGCTAGATGCCACTGTCCACGTGGACACCTCCTGCCCCTCAGAGGACACGGCTAGGCCTCAAGCCACATCTCTGCATGGATCTGATGGAGACGTTGTATGAGGGAAACTTTCTAGTTTAATTTGAGCTGTAAAATGGTCTGGTGCCTCGTACCCTAAGCAGAGTAAATACAAAGGTACCCCTGACTGATCAGAACCCTTTGTCTCCAAGAACCTGACTGTCATGGAGTCCTGGCTCGCGGACTACGAGGCTTCATCTGAGGAGCCGGCCCACGTGCTGTAAGCAAGCTCCCTGGGCCCCAGAAGGACCGGTCATGGGAAGCTTTTATCCTCGACTTCGTCACAGGAATAAAGCCGACCAGTAACAGCAATACCAGCTGGCCCATCACCAGCTAACAAAGATATGCTCAATCCTCTCTGCTGGCATAGCTATCTAGTAGTTGGAAAACGGAAATTTTTTTTTCCAAGAGAAAGCTCAAGTTTCATAAAATTTCTCATGCATCTAATTAAGATGTTCCACTAAATTTATATTTAGGTTACCTTTTTTTTTTAATCATAATAGATCTTAGGATGTATGTGACTAAAACAGCTGAATTTCAGACTTTAAAAGGTAGTAAATCCATTTTTTATCTTTCAGCAGAAGCTAACTGACTTCACATAGAAACCTTATATACACTCTTGTAATGGCTTTTGGTGATCATTTATACATTTTAATTGTTATAGCCTTTTTTATTAAACAAAATAGAATGTACTTATACAAAAAATGAAAATATACTTAGTGAAAATTGAAAGTAAAAAGTACTCATAATTCCTTTACCCATTAATACCACTGTTAACATCTGAATGTATCCAGTGTCTTTTTCTCCTTGTTCAGACATCACCATTAGATTTTTTTTAACAGTTTCCATTTTTTTTGACTTTTTAAAGTTTATTTATTTGAGAGAGAGCAAAAGCAGGAGAGGGGCAGAGAGAAGGAGAGACAGAATCCCAAGCAGGCTTGGGATCAACACAGAGCCCAGTAATACAGGGCTAGAACTCCCAAGCCATGAGATCATGACCTGAGCCGAGATCAAGAGTCAGACACTTAACTGACCGAGCCACCCAGGTACCCCAGCATTAGAGTTTTCTAAAACATAAAGTCGATCATTTCATGTATGTCTCTTCCTAATTTTTCCTATTTGTAAGCATATCATGACATTTTCTCACGTTACTTGATATCCTAGAACATAATTCCATTACCTACAAAGGATTCCATTGTGTTGTCTTATTGTAGCAGTTTGGTTACTTACTGTTTCCTCCACTCCCTATGCATTTATATGATACAGATTCCAAGCCCTTGTACACATTAGCCTACTAGAATTTTTATTTTTAACACAGGCTGTTCAAGACATTAGAGCCAGAGCAATTAAGCAAAGGAACACAATCAAGGTGACGGTTCATATTCACGGATGGATCACATCACTAAGGCTACTAGTTAACAACTCTCATTCACCTGCGTGACCCCGGATCACCTTAGGGTAGGGCTGGAGGGAATCAGTGAACATTTGAGAAAAAGAAACATCTTTTAGAAATGACACTGACAGGAAGTTCTATAAATAATTCTGCCTCCTAGGAATGCACGGTATGCAGACGTAGATTGAATAGAAGTTCCTGGAGGAGAAGTCCTCTTTACCTCTGTAGCTTGAGTCATGTTGAGACTCTAAACAGTGTCATGAAGTAGGAGACATTCACATATTAAAAATAAAATAAGGGGCGCCTGGGTGGCTCAGCTGGTTAAACGTCCAGCTTCATCTCAGGTCATGATCTCGTGGTTCGTGAGTTCGAGCCCCACATGAGGCTCTGTGGTGACAGCTCAGAGCCTGGAGCCTGCTTCGGATTCTGTCTCCCTCTCTCTCTGCCCCTACACTATTCACACTCTGTCTCACTCTCACTCTCTGTGTCAAAAAATAAACATTTAAAAAAGTTAAAAATAAAAGCATAAAACACAAGTCCACATGTGCCAGAGATGTAAGGACACGATTGGTGACTAGATACTTCCTGGTTTGTTGGGGAATTACTGGGCTGCTCTAAGGCAAACTTTGTTTAACGGGAGCCAAGAACAAGCTTGTCAAGAGGTGGAGTCAGGGGAAGGTTTAAATCAGAGAAGGTTGACGAACTGAAGGTCACCCTACTTGTTCAATGAACTTGCCTTCTGACAAGTGCGAGAAGCGGCAGCAGAGAAGACAGGTGGCACACAACCGAGTCCTCAAGGGGGACAACGGCGCCTAATGGAAAGCAGACCGGCGGGGGAAAGAATGAGAGTGAGGGAAGAGTCAAAGCAGGCACTAAGGAGGGGCTGCACATGGAGCAGGGCCAGCTGAGGGGCTGTCTACAGCGGCAGGAGGCGAGTTCAGCCATGGCTCGTTCTTCCCCGTGGCTACGGGAGAGGCAACTCCAAAACACAGACGTACTGTCTACATGGTACTGATTCACTTTCATGAGGTTTTTAGGCAAAGGTAAGAAAAGAAAGGACTCTTGGCTGTGTGTCCCCCTCGGTGTTTGGAATATCAAATTCAACCAGAACACAGGGCCTTCTAGAGTTGCCTGCAGTCATAGTTAGTGCATCCTCACAGACCGTGGGCTTCCCTCCCAAAAATGGGTTTTGTAGCTGTGCCGAGTAAAATAACACGGGAGCAGGGAAACGAATATGACTGCAAACCCAGAAGTCTAATGGTTGATTTTTTTCTGGGCTTTTCCTGCTGGTGGTGGCCGCTTTCCATTCTCTTCCAGAGTTCTATTGGAAGGGTGCTGTCTTTTGTCTTTGACAGAATGTTGTTCCAGGTGTGCCTGTATTTTTACTGTAAATTTTTGTGGCGCTGCCTAAAATTTGTAATGAGGAAGCTGACTGGAAGATGTGAACTGCAACGGATCTGTTACAGTACCAAGCCTGGGGCTTCTAGAACCATGAAAATCGGTAAGTATGAAACAAAGAAGTGAGCAGAATGTAAGCTTGATGGGATTGTGGGTGCAGCACGTTATATTTGTGTATGGCAATTTCTTCTGATAGAGAGGGAGAGAGAGAGGGAGAGCGCACACACATGCACAGGGGAGGGGCAGAGGGAGAGGGAGAGGGAGAGAATCCCAAGCAGGCTCCGTGCCCAGCACAGAGCTCGTTACAGGGCTCACTCTCATGACCATGAGACCATGACCTGAGCCAAAATCAAGAGTTAGACACTTAAGTGACTGAGCCACCCAGGTACCCCTGTTTTTAGTAATTTTAAGCCCCTTGCAAATGTCATTTTTTCATGGCTTTTTTATTGTCACTTCTACAGAAACATCACTGAGGGATTCAAAAAGTAAGGTAAGTGAAACCATTTCTGTATTTTTCAACAACTTTTCACTTGGAGGCTTACCTCCATCATCAAAAAGTAAACGTTTTAACAAACAAATATATACCAATGGCAATGCAAACTGAGAAAAAAGATTGGTTTGCTCATTACAAGCCATTATACTCTTGATGACACAAGAGCAGCCACTGAATGTGAATTTCTAGGCAGATTTATGACGCAGTATTACTTCATTGTTGAATTAGTCCTCTTTTTTAAAAAGTTTACTTTTTGAGAGAGAGGTAGGGTGAGCGTGAGCAGGGGAGAGGCAAAGCAAGAGGGAGAGAGAGAATCCCAAGCAGGCTCCACACCATCAGCACAGAGCCTGATGTGGGGCTTGAACTCATGAAACATGAGATCATGACTGAGCCGAAATCAAGTCGGAATGTTAACTGAGCAACCCAGATGCCCCAAATCACTTAATTTTATACTCAAAATTTCCAAAGAAAATCAGAGAAGCCACTATGCTAGCTATCACAGCATACAGTTAAGCATCCACATAAAAGAGAAAAATCTGGGTTTTTTTTCAAGATTCTTGAATATTATTACTTAATTTGATATCCTTAAGACTATGTGCTTTACTCACTCATAGGCATACTGCCCATTAACAATGGAAACCATATACACTGGGTCAGAAAAATAAGCTATAATGTTTCAATATAAAGATCTTGAAAAAAAATTAAATAGGACAAAAAACTTATGTATTTCTGTTTTATGTTAATTATCTTAATCAGGAAAATTGCACTCCCCCTATTGTGAAAATGTCTGATTTTCTAGAATTCAAACACTAAATCAATTTTTGCTTTTAGCTTAGTTCTAGCTTAGTCTTATTTAGAAGTTCTAAGCAAATACTTGAAGCCCCCCATCTAAAGAGACCCCGCTTAAGCCACTGATGCTCGTGACAAGGGAACTGACTGAAATGTGTTTTCCAGCTGCTGCAGACTTCCGTGAGTGTTCACCCTGATGCTATTGAAAAAACTATAGAAGACATCATGGAACTGAAAAAAATTAACCCCGACATAAATCCACAGTAAGAATGTATTTATGATGTAAACACAGAGCGCAGGGCACGCATTGAGTACTTCTGTAGACCTGAGCTCGCTGGCATGCTCTCCCTCTCTGTGCCCCACCCCCACAATCATCTGCAATGTTTTTGACTTTCAGATGAAAAATAAGGGGGAAAAGGTGCCTTTTTCATATTTGCAAACAGCAGCAACTCTGTACTTTTGTCATGATTTATGCGTAGGCTTCTGAGAGGCCATGAATGTGAGAAATCTGATGGATGCCCTACTCTCAGAAGATGAAATCAGGGGAGCCCATTTAGCAGCAGTCGCTCCGTGCAATGCCTATTTTCAACGAACAGTAAATGTTCACCTTGTAAATGTGCCTAAGTGGATCTGCTCCATCAAAAATATTCCTCCAGTTTATGACAGGCTGATAATGTTGGCGACGGGTCTTAATGCTTGTCAAGGAGACTGGCGTGTGTGGGAGGGATAGATGGTTTTTATATGAAGCCTTTAGAACTTTGTGATTTAGTCATCCTATCTTGGAAATATTAAAATGCATTTGGCATCGTACGTGATGTTTAAAATTAGCTTTATATTTTCCATCGGGTACAGGAGTTTCTCAGTGAAATTTTGGGCTAAGGATGTTGGTTAGAAATATACCTGGTGCAGGTATATTTAGAGACAGTTTAGGGAGGTAACAATCAACCTGTCTTTCGGATGGGATAGGCGGGAACTTCGCACGTTATCGCTGAGAAAGGCTTTTAATTGCTAAAGACGGGGAGCTGTGGTTGAAGGGCATGTCAGAGTGCGCTCTGTATAGGTCTGTCTCTTGGAGGGATTCTGGGGACTAATGGGGGCTCATCACAAAATTCCATCTCCACATGGTCTCCAGAGCATCCTTCCGCAGACACTTCAGCTAATTGGGTGTCTGTTCCTTATTCAGTCATGAAGGGTGATTTAATTATACGGCAAATGTCTTTTTGAAACCTCTGACACATATTTTATTTCTTTGGGAAGGTAATAAGAAGGCAATTCATTATTAAACGAAGTTGAACCAAAAATTTAAGAGTGCGGTTGGGCATGAGGGATATGAGACTCACAATCATATTTGGAGACTGGGTTAGATTTAATAGCAGATCTTCTCTGTCTCTTCTGTGAAAGTTAGGTTTCATTCCAGAAGCATTTCCTTGCCCTCTATTCTTGTGATTTCCTTTGGGGGGGGGGGGGAACCCTCATAAGCCGTAGCATGTGTGTTTACATCTCGGTATGGGCTTCAGTGCTTTTTTTCTACACTGACATGACAAAATGTGATTTTTAGAAATTCAATTTCTGGAAAAAATCAGGAAATAGAAAAGGCTGAAGGAAATATTTTCTAATCTGTCAAGCCATTACTTCTTTAAACCGCACGTCTTTTTTTGGTTTTAATTCCAGGGTAGTTAACATCCAATGTCCTATCAGTTTCAGGTGTACATTTTTTCGGTTGGTCTCATTTTTTCCCTTTGTTTGGTTTCTTAAATTCCATATACGAGTGAAACCATATGGTATTTGTCTTTCTCTGACTTTTTTTAAAAGTTTGCTTGTTTATTTTGAGAGAGAGAAAGCAGGGGAGGAGCAGAGAAAGAGGGGGTCCCGAGAAGGCTCCACACTTTTAGCGCAGAGCCTGACATGGGCTCAATCCCATGAACTCTGGGATCATGACCCAAGCTGAGATCAAGAGTCAGACGCTTAACCGACTGAGCCACCCAGGCGCCCCTCTCTGACTTATTTCACTTAGCATTATACTCTGTAGATGCATCCATGTTGTTTGCAAATGGCAAGATCTCATCCCTTTTATGGCTGAGTAATACTCCACTGTCCGGATACCACATGTTCTTTATCCCTTCATCTGCAGGTGGACCCTTGGGCTGCTTCTGTAATTTTAACCACATTTGGTTTTAATTACATTTTTTTTCAAGTTGAAAAATGACTACAGTAAACATGGAATCGGCTCCTCTTGCTCCATCCCGTTTTACTTCTCTCGCTCTCTTCCTCCAAATTAACTCTCCTCCCAGGCCTACGCTGATTCTCAAGGTGACCAGTGCCACTGTGCCCTTTTCCTAAATTTAAATCTGATTCGGTTTTCTTGGTGCTGTGGTAACAAATAATTATAATGGCCATTTCACTGAACATTCAGTTTTATTTAAGTTTCGCATTTGGGTTATCTGACCCTGTACTCCAAGTATGGAATAGGTATGCCACCCTAAGATGTGAAATTCTCTGTGGCTCCCAGTGTTAAACAATCTTTGAGCCACAAAAGTGAATGACCGTAAAGAAACTTACCAGGAATGCATAAATGTGAAACCCTACCTTTAGATTTAAAAACGCCATCAAACAAGCATGGGAGAATAATTTGCACGACAGTAGTTTATGTGAACAAGGATCTTGGTGACTATTTAGCCACCTGTTGGACAAATTTGTTCTGTGACTACTTAAGGAGATGGTGTTTCACCTGCTGTGTTGTGATCACAGAAAGTAGCTAGTGATCCTCTGTGTATCACACTTGCCGGACTGTTTTCTGTCTGGGTGATATGTTTTAAGGGGGCCGTTATTCAAACAGTATCCATTCAGAGAAGACTGAATGTGCAAGATGGTAAAACATGTGAAAACCGTGTCCCATGAGAGGGAACTGAAGGAAGAGGGCACTTTTTTTTAGCACTGAAGATCAGACTACAAGGGAGAATCGCTGTCTTAAACAGTCGTGGCAGGGGAAAGTTGGAAATTAATTTCCTCAGAGAACAAGCTTTGAACCACCTGGTAATAAGGAAGGCACATTCTGTTTCAGCGTGAGAAAAAGGCTTCAGACAAAGAGCGAGTCAGAATGGAGTGGCAAGTTGTGTAGTCAGCTTTTCCTCTTGGCTTTGCCTCATCTGCCAGGGATGCTCCCAAGAAGAAGCGCTTTTGTCGTTTTGTGTTGTTGTTGTGAATTTTCTTACCGCTGAGGGCTGACACTCTCTCACACACATGTAAGGTGCTTCTGACTACAGCCGCCTGGTGGGGGGCAGGGCTAATGGGTCCCTACGAACCCATGATCACTTATATTTTCTACATCTTACTTAAATCACCTGCAAAAAGAACTCCCTTGTTTTTTAAACCATATTGTTGCACCTTGGCTTAAGAAATGGCCAGAATGAGACGAAACTTTTAGCCAAGTTCTTCAACTGTCTATCCATGTGGAGCTTTGGTAAGAAACTGTGCTTCTACTCAAGTAAGAAGTGGTTATGAGACCAGCACAGGAAATGTTACATTCCTTTATTTTTCTAAATAAACTAAGTATGGCTCTATGTTGAAAGAAAAAAAAGAAAAAGAGAAGGAAAGGAAAGGAAAGGAAAGGAAAGGAAAGGAAAGGAAAGGAAAGGAAAAGAAAAAGGGAGGAAGGGAGGAAGGGAGGAAGGGAGGAAGGGAGGAAGGAAGGAAGGAAGGAAGGAAGGAAGGAAGGAAGGAAGGAGAGAGAAGGAAAGAAAGAAAAACTGGGCTTCAATTAAATATATCCCGTGTGACTGAGGGTTGATGGAGGGAGGTGGGTGGGGGATGGGTCAGATGGGTGATGGGCACTGAGGAGGACACTTGTTATGATGAGCACCGGGTGTTGTATATAAGGGATGAGGCACTGGATTCTACTCCTGAAACCAATGCTGCACTGTATGCTAACTAAAATTTAAACAAAAAGGTGAAGAAAATAACTAAATGAATAAATACATCCCATGTGAAAATTTCCTCCATTTTATATTATGAAAAGTCCTATTATGCACACAACCAGTGAACAAATGCTACAATATCTGTTTCGTTTTTCCTCACGTGTGTTTCTTCTGTTTTTGAACACCTCAGGCTGGGAATCTCTCTTCAGGCTTGCCTCCTGCAAATTGTTGGCTACAGAAACCTTATTGCAGATGTGGAAAAACTGCGCAGAGAACCGTATGATTCTGATAACCCCCAACATGAAGAAATGCTGTTGAAGGTTAGACCTCGAACGTATTTCAGTCCTTCACTTAGGTCAGCTGATGTCCACCCAGCACCTGCCAAGTGCTAGACGCTGCTCAGACGGGGAGGGTACAAAGATGACTAAGACGTGGGCACCGTGCCTGGTTGGTAAAGCCTACTTTTCTTGCTGGTTCAGATGTGGGAGGTAAATTCTTCCCGAGAAAACTCATGGGAGAAGTTAAATGTAAAGTCCTTTTTTTTTTTTTTTTGGTAATCTGAGAGCATCTCAGGTGATTTCTCTGAGCTCTTGTACCTGGCTCACGTTTAGGCTGTTTAGCTGTACGGAAAGCCAGGAGGAGAAATAGCACTTGTCCAAGAGTGACCTGGGATTTCCATTTATGACTTTTAATAGACATCAAAGAAGATGAAGTTGGTTTCTGCTTTGGCAATAGCCCTCCTGGGAAATTACCTAAGATCTTATTGCTGATTATTTATTCATGTAGCTCGGAGAATATTAGAAGAGGAGGTTAAGGTTTATACCTGGTTTATTAAAACTGTTAGAAGAACAATATACAGGGGCGCCTGGGTGGCTCAGTCGGTTAAGCGTCCGACTTCGGCTCAGGTCACGATCTCACTGTCCGTGGGTTCGAGCCCCGCGTCAGGCTCTGTGCTGACTGCTCAGAGCCTGGAGCCTGTTTCAGATTCTGTGTCTCCCTCTCTCTCTGACCCTCCCCTGTTCATGCTCTGTCTCTCTCTGTCTCAAAAATAAATAAATGTTAAAAAAAAAATTAAAAAAAAAAAAGAACAATATACAGTTCTGGCTGTCCAAGTAAAAACTTAAAAATCTCATATGATCTGACGGTGCGTTATGAAATACCAATAAAACTTGACCTCAACACTGAATCTGGAGCTTAAGAAATTAAGACTAACCTTCAGAACTATTCATCTAAAATATTTTCTCAATTCACTTCTGAAAACAGATGCTTTTTAAGATGCAGTGCTTCCTTGTCTTTGCTAGGATACAAAAAGACACTAACAAAATTGGAAGAAAACATTTGGTTAGCTGCCTTAACTTTATTTTATTGAAAAGTGTCACTAGGAGCTGTAATTTTAAGAATGTATCCTGCCGTGTTTTTGTGTATAGAAATACGTAAGCAGATGACTCACTGGTCTCTGCTAATTTGTGCTGTATCTGATGTGAATCCCTAAAGCTAAAAGAAGCTTCATTCTTTGCAGTAGTTTTCTTCTTCCATTTCTGCTCAGCTTAAATTTACCTAACCTACTGGGCTAAATAAACTTCATTTCCTTTTATTGCCTTTTTCATTCTATGTTCCGATCGAAGTAGTCAAGTTCAATTAAAATGACTTCAAGGTGAGAAACAAGAGGTGAATGAAAGAGAAACAAGACGGTGGAATTAACAGAGTGGCCACAAGCAGCTGAAGGCTTCCTTAGAGTGCCATGATGCCTTCAGATTCAGACATTTGGGTGCCTGCGGTGCTCTGTGTTAGCTGATCCGTTGTGTGTGTGCCTGCTATACTGTCTTAGCTGATCCGTAGCGTGTGTGTGCTGGCACATAGCAGGTTTTCAACAAATACAGGTGAATGCATGAATCACTGTGGTTCACTGGATACTAAAAGTCAAGAACTTTTATGACGTACCTTTCATCTCTGGTCATGATTTGATTTTGTATGTGTTATCTTTTATTGTCACAGCTGTAAGAGGTAAGGTGATGGTTTGTAACTTTGCAGCTGAGCAGACTACAAGCATTTCAGTCCAGACTCTGATCCACACAGCCAGTAAGTTACAAACAAGGACTGTCCACTATTGTGCCAGGCACTTTGAGGAAAGGCATCTTTTTTACGCTTAAGTGGCTTGCAAGCGAACTTGGGACATACTATGCATCTACAAAAAATCACTAAACCCTATCCAGACAGATCCCTCAAAATATCTCTTAAATGTTTTCCATGCCCACCAGCTTATTCTAGCATCATCTCCAGCTTGGGTTGTTACAATAGCCTTTTAATTCTGCCACTAAGTGTTAGCCTCCTCCCTTCCGTCTTCTAAAATACTGCTGGAGGGATTGTCTAGTCATGTGATTCCCTAGGTTAAAAACTTCAGCTTCCCTGTGTCTGCCAGAATAAATCCCATGCTTCTTAACGTGGCATTCTGGACCCTTTCCAATCTATTTCTCCAATTACCTATTACCTATTCTCACCACAAAAGCCAGCTCTTTTTAGAAATCCTTATTCGTTCAATTTTGAAATCTTCTCCAGTCTCCCCAGGAACACCTCGGAGTGGGATCTTTATTCTCTTCTTCGGTTTATTCACATTCCAAGTATGATAATAAAAACAGTAATCATAAAACATTCAGTGAATGTTTAGCACATGTTAACCTTTACAGTAAATGTTTTACAACATCATTTCATTTGATGGTCACAATAACCTCGTGGTGAGACACTGCCATTATCCCCATTTTCAGATGAGGAAAATGAGGCTGGGCAGTTAAGTACTGCGCAAGCTCACGTGGTAAGGAAGGGCTCCACGCTGCCTCTCAACGGAGGACCCATGTCTTCTTCCCATTTGTATTTCCAGAGGCTGGCCCATGGTTTGTGTTTAACTACCTGATATTGGCGTCTTTATCTTTAAAATGGACAATACCCTTGTTACCTACTCCATAAAACTTTTAGGGCAAGAGTCAGCAAACTAAAGCCTATGGGCCAAATGTGGCTGCCACCCTTCTTTGTAAATAAAGTTTTGTTGGAACATGTCCACTCATTGATGTATGTATGGTCTGTGGCTGCTTCTGTACGACAATGGCAAAGTGAAGTAATTGGAGAGTGACCATATGGCCACCAAAGCCTAAAATATTTAATATCTGGCCCTTTACAGACAAAGTTTGCCAACCTCTGATTTAGAAGCTCTGGTAATATATTAGCCATATTGTTTAAGTGCTCTGACTTATAAACGTGGGAGACCATCATCAGTGCTTATACTCAGAATCTTAAAGTATAAAAAAATCCGGATTTTAGGATCATTTAAACATTGGCTGAGACAAAAATGAAAAACATCACCTTATGTTCACACAGCACTGTCCATATGAGCTATTCAAATGGACATTTCTATTAAACATTTGCTAAACCACATAAATAATAAAGGGAAATTTTTATGTGGATTCATGTACCTAATAGAAAAAAATATAGCCTAGAATTGAAAGATCCTCTCTTGCTGGGAAGAGATAATCCCATGGTGGCCTTGGTGAGAAGCGGCTTCTCCTCGGATGAATGGGTGGACAGACAAACGGCCTTGTCCTTGCTCTTCTTTTTTAAGTGTCTAGGTATTTTGAGAGAGAGAGAGAGAGATTATCCAAGCTGTCAGTGCAGAGCCCAATGCAGGGCTCGACCTCATGAACCGTGAGATCATGACCTGAGCTGCAATCAAGAGTTGTACGCTTAACAAACTGAGCCGCGAGCACCCCTGCCTTGCTTTTCTGCAGCAGACCTAAGTAAGACAAGGAGAAAGTGCTGAAACAAGCTTGTGTCAAAGGCTCAGTGCAAAGAGAACAGAGTTAAGCAGAGCCAGGGCCGTGACAGAGGACGGTGTGACTCAGAGTGCAGCTTCCACACCCAACTTGTCATCTGGCACAGGAATCACCCTCTCTGTCTCTGGTCTCCTGCCCTGGCAAGTGGCTTCGTAGTAACTCCACTCCCAACAGCACAGTTTAGATGGCTGAGTTCCTCAGAGCACCCCTCATCAGAGGCCCACCGCCTTCATTCAGATTTCTGGTCAGCTCCCGACATGCCAGAAATGACCTCATCCTTCAGGGCCACCCTGCCTCCTACCCTTACTTTTTCAGAGAATAGCCTGTCTATCAGAAGAGAATCCAGTAGCTCAAGTATTCTCACAGGAAATATACCCATGGTAGCACTTTATATAAGTACTTTAGCATAATCGACTTTTCATTTTCTGAGAAAGTGACCCTTATTAAAGCAGATAGGATTAAGAACATAATTAAGAACACTTTTTAGCCATTAGTCCAATCTGTCATGATACATAAAATTATTAAAGTGGAATTTCTTTTTTTTTTTTTTAATTTTCTTAACGTTTACTTATTTTTGAGACAGAGAGAGACAGAGCATGAACGGGGGAGGGTCAGAGAGAGAGGGAGACACAGAATCCGAAACAGGCTCCAGGATCTGAGCTGTCAGCACAGAGCCTGATGCGGGGCTCAAACTCACGGACCGTGAGATTGTGACCTGAGCCGAAGTCAGACGCTTAACCGACTGAGCCACTCAGGCACCCCGGAATTTCTTTTTTAAGCATTTTATTTTTCAAACTTCTTACTCCCCTAAACTAAGTATTGCCCCAATTAATGAGGTTTATAACCTACCTATAGAAATGAAATGTTTGCTTTTGCCATTTCACTCTACTCACTCAGTGAAACCAGAGATTTTTAAACTGTGTAGGGCCCTGAGATTACTTCAAATTATTAGTCAAATGGATGTGATGAGCTTTACAAACTGTTTCCCTTTGTTCTTGCTTTTTTCATTGTGATAGCAATCAAATCAGTTCCTAGAGGAAAAAGAGACCTTTTCTCTCATTTTTTTAGTACTCTTGTTGAACTCAAACATTTTCTGTCTTGATGAATGCAGAGCACTGGCAAATTCTCATCTGGGTGTTATAAGACGATTTCTTATGCTCATGTTTGCTACTTTGCTTTCAAGGGTGATAGATATACTTTCTTTCCTCTGAAATTTTTCTCTCAACCTTTATTTATTTTTTATATGCTTAGTTATTGGCGGGGAGGGGGGCAGAGAGTGAGGGAAAGAGAGAAAATCCCAAGCAGCCCCCAGGCTCAGCACCAAGCCCAACATGGGGCTGGGTCTCACAAACCTTGAGATCATGACCTGAGCCAAAATCAAGAGTCAGACACTTAACCAACTGAGCCGCCCAGGAGCCCCTCTCATAGTTCAGACTGCATCCATCTGTTGTGCTACTAACATAATGTATCCCTTGAATTATATCTTTTTTGGTTAGTGTTTCCTTTCATTGAATATTATGTTCTATACTGTGTCAGATATGTGACAATTTACTATAAAGGAAGCTGCTTGTGTATTACTCTTCTCTATAGGATTTAAAATCCATGTAACAGAAAAAACTATTTCGAAGTTGAATTATGGAGGTGCCTGGGTGGCTCAGTCAGTTGAGTGTCCGACTTCAGCTCAGATCATGTCAGATCAGCTGTCAGCCTGTCAGTGCAGAGCCCAATTTGGATCCTCTGTCACCCTCTTTCCATGCCCCTCCCCTGCTCATGCTCTCTCAAAAAATAAAAAACATTTTTAAAAAGTTATGTCTGAAATACTAATATGAAAATTTTACATTTGTATTTGTCCCTGTCATAATAAAGATAAAATATAAAGTATTATTAATAGTCTAAAAGTAAATTTGCTTATGTGCCCATCTCTATGTATTTGAACTAATAGTGTGAGCATTGTGTATTTATACGGCTGTAGGTCTCTTTCTCAAGTAATAGTATGTGCTAAATCTATCTTTCTATAGAAAACCTAGAAAAATAGAACCAGTTTAAGAAGAGCGTAATGTTTAAAGTTTGTATTTGTCAATTAATATATAACTGGAATCAAAATTCCCTTTGGTAACTCTGAAAAATGGTCATATATTTTGAGGTTTGTTCGCGAACATGACTGATCTTCCTTCATCCAGTAGATGACACTTAGATGTCATCTACTTAGTAGATGACTTACTGTCCTCTCTGTTATAGGTGAGAAATGAAACTCAAGTCAGCCCACTTTTCTTTTGGTTAATAATGCTACGAAAAATTTTGCTATAGAGTTAGATAGCAATTTTCTGATAATTTAAATAATACATGGCCTCAAATTTTTCCCTTTTTGACCTTTACCTTCACTCTCTTAAATATTTTTGAGGACCCTTTGCGGGAGATTATATAGTTTTATTTTTTATTAGAAATTAAATCAGAGGGGTGTCTGGGTCGCTCGGTCGGTTAAGTGTCTGACTTCAGCTCAGGTCATGATCTCACAGTTCGTGAGTTTGAGCCCCGTGTCGGGCTCTGTGCCGACAGCTCGGAGCCTGGAGCCTCCTTCGGGTTCTGTGTCTCCCTCTCTCTCTGCCCCTCCCCCACTCATGCTTTCTCTGAAAAATGAATACACTTTAAAAAAAAAAAAAGAAATTAAATCAGAAAGATGGAAAACTCTAAAATATAGGCGGACACATTCCATAACTACCAGGGTAATGACATCATCACGTGTCATGTAGCCTCTAGAAAATTCCACTATATACTCATAGGAGAGGGAAAAGGCAAATGACCTCTTGGTTTTATTATGACATGGTCTTTACTTCCCAGACGCCTTCAGAAGGTCTTGGAGTCCCTCCCAGGGGCCTTCAGACCACTTTGAGAACTCCTGCCACAGATAACTGAAATACAGTGAAACCTTTAACTATACCGTATTTGCATACATTCAGCTTTGTAAAGTTCCTTCTTCAGATACCGAGTACAAAATCTGAGCCAATGGGAAAGAGGATTTGTGTTTGTATCAACAGGCTAATTTTCTGTCTTGTCTTCCAGTTATGGAAATTCTTGAAGCCTAATACTCCACTGGAATCTCGGATTTCTAAGCAATGGTGTGAAATTGGCTTCCAAGGTGATGATCCTAAAACAGATTTTCGAGGAATGGGACTTCTGGGCCTATACAATTTGCAGTAAGTAAATGGAGAAGGGTCAAGTATTAAAAAGTGATGTTGGGGCACCTGGGTGGCTCAGTCGGTTGAGCGTCCGACTTCGGCTCAGGTCATGATCTCGCGGTCCGTGAGTTCGAGCCCCGCATCAGACTCTGTGCTGACAGCTCAGAGCCTGGAGCCTGTTTCAGATTCTGTGTCTCCCTCTCACTCTCTGCCCCTCCCCCACTCATGCCCTGTCTCTCTCTCTCTCTCTCTCTCTCTCTCTCTGTCAAAAATAAACAAACATTAAAAAAAATTTTAAAAAGTGATGTTGTGGTCACATGCAAATGATAAAGTTATTAGTTCCAAAAGCCACCACACAGAAAACTCCAAGAAAACACTGACGTCCTCAGATAACTCAGGTTCCTAAACGTCGAAGAGGTGCTTCCATCTTCCTTTTCTTTGGCAGACTTTATTGTGTTTTATAAGTGGATCTCAAATGGTTTTGTTTTTAATTTTCTTTTACGAAAAGTTGAAGTATGTACAAAACCACACGGAAGACTCGAGAACCCCTTGCGCTGCCCGCGTGCAGCGATTATCAGGGTCTGAAACTCCCGCGATGCTCATTGTTTTGGCAGAAGCATAGTAACAAAAATGCTGTACCTGTCACTTCGCCCTCATATTGCAATAGGCAGCTCTAAAAAAACCCGTATTCACCTTATATTAACAATGACTCCTTGGTGTCATCTGTACCCAGTCCATATTTCCCAGCTCTCTCAAAAAAGCCAAAAATGTCTTTTTATGGCCGTTTTCTCCTAATCTGGTTCCATACGAGAGCCATACACATCGCACTTAGTTATTATGTGTCTCCCCATGTGCCTTTTCCTTTTGCCCCTCCCCGGGGTCACTAACTTGCGCAAGATTCCAGGTCAGCCATCCTCTAAAATGTCCCACGGTCTGGATTTTCTGTTTGCACCGGTACCCATGGCCTGTATTTCCTGAAAACTGGAGGTATCTGGAAAGGCCTGTGCTGAGTTGGATCAGAGGAATCACAGCCTGATGTCTCCATTGTAAAGTCCCCCCCATCAGCCCCTTATCTGAGCATCTCATCTTTCACTGATAGTCACTGGACCGTTAATTAACTGTGTAAAAAGTGCTTTTCCAATCCTGTGATTCTTCCCACAGTTGTTGGCTGGAATTCTATAAAGACTCCGTTTCCTTCATCAACTATGGTTATTTAGTTTCTCTAAAATAGAGGCAAGACAGATGCTCAATTTTTCTATTTAACTGACAATGTTCAGAGTGAGGAAGGAGTTGGTGCCCTAATTCCCTTGTTAGTGATCAAAAAAAATTTTTTTTTGCTTTGGTTTTTAAGTATCATTTTTAATTCCTGGTTCTTATATGTTTATTATAATTCAAGTAATAGTGCTCATCATTTTTTCATGTTTAAATTAAGTCATATGTAGTCATTATTTTTCAAGCCAAAGGGAGTCCTTTTAAGTTGGCTCTTTGTCCTTTGCTACCATCCTATTAGTGAGGATAGGAATGTATTTTTAAAAGAAACTAAGCCTGAGGTGCCTGGGTGGCTCAGTTGGGTAAGTATCTGACTTCAGCTCAGGTCATGGTCTCATGGTTCATAAGTTCGAGCCCCATGTCAGGCTCTGTGCAGACAGCTCAGAGCCCGGAGCCTGCTTCGGATTCTGTGTCTCCCTCTCTCTCTGCCCCTCCCCCACTCACACTCTCTCTGTCTCTCAAAAATAAATAACCATTAAAAATTTTTTTAAATAAAATTAAACACCTCTGTAAGATAAGCCACCATAAGCAAAGTGAAAAGACGAGCCAAGGCCGACACTCACACAAGTGACAGAGTATCCCGATCTGTACGGTTACTTAGTTGTCTGAAGACATCTTTAGATATGCTGGACCAAAAAACAGGAAACGTAGATGGCCAACAAAAGTATGAAAAAAGGCTCAATTTCATTAATAATGAAACTATCAAAATGCTGACTGTGGTTTGAACTTTTCTGAGAGAAAATTCAAGAGCTTGTTTTAGGCTTCCGATTTATGTGGGAAATACATACACATGAAATTAAACAACATATGCTAGCATTTTATTCTGTTACTGCCATTATGAAGTACTTTCTGTGATGCGTTTTAGAAGGTACGTCACTTTGTGTATTTTTAGGAAATTTCATTGCCCTTTGCCCCCAGGGCGGAATTTTGCTTTTAGCACCAGGAGATATTGTCCATCCATCCAGAATTCAAATACCCTGTGACTATCCTCCAAGAAGAATGCACTTGAAACACATGGTCTCTCACCTCCTCTATTCTCTTCCTCTCTCGGCCCCTTGGCCGTCGCAGCCCCTCCGCGTGTCCCTCCCTTCAGGCCACTTCTGCCTTCCGAGGAGCTACATTCCGCCCCCCTTGTCCATGACCCTTCTTACTACAACTATCCTTTGCTCCCTGGGGAAAGGCAATGATCGTAACTCAAATTTCAAACCTACCAGATACATTCCTCAATCTAAGTGGGTTTTACGACTACCCTACTCTACTGTCATTATGTTTGGGAAATTCTGTTATGAAAAGCTGTCTCTTCTCTGGAAGAGCTGAAGCAAGTGGTAAACTCGGAGTGCAGCACGTCCCAACACTGGATGAAAACGAGTGCATCAGGCAGGAACAGAGCTGTGGTTTTCTTTCCCTCCAACCGCAGGTATTTTGCGGAAAGGGACGCCGCGGCAGCCCAGCAGGTCCTCTCCGACTCTCTTCATCCAAAATGCAGGTAATTGCTGAAAACCAAAGCTGGACGGGGCTTACGGATTAGGCAGAAGGAACTTCTCCTTCACGGATAGGTCGGTGAGATTGTCAGGAGCGTCACCCCACCGGAAGTGAGGCTTCAAGCTCTTTCAAATGAGCCCTCTGGACAAATACTGAATAGGAGGGTTAAACCTGCAGGTACTCAATCCCTCCTGGGATTCAGGAGGGAAAGTGGCACCGTGCGAGTGAGATAAGTATTTAAAGGACTGATAACAGTGCTGGTGCCCAGAGGATTAAAGAGGCGGGCGTGGAAGAAGGAGAGAGAGGAGTCTGGAAGCAGTATTTCAGAGACCAGGGAGCATGATGGGGGAACAGAGGGGAGAGTGGGAGTCATGAAGTCAGGGGCCCAGTGAGAAAGTCTAGAATGCTGAGGCTTTTTTAGTTTTCTTGGTAAAAATCTAGAGTCTAAATATTTTACATTTTCATTTACCTTCCTAAACTTTTTTTCTTTAACTGATTACATGAAGGGATATCACTAAAGAGGAAACAAGGTATTTTTTGTTTGCTTTTGTGTTTTGTTGCTTTTATTTCATTTTAGAATAAGTATTAGTAAGAATTTTAACAGCCGTACAAATTCATGAAAAATTTTTCAAAAAAAAAAAAAAAAAACATTTCCCAACTTTTTATCTAATGTACTTCATTATATGTGGGTTGAAGGAAAACCACGGTAGACAAACCCAACAGAAAATTTCAAACAGCCCTCTATGGCCATGGCTCTGTCTGGTTGCAGAAGCATGTCAAACACTCTGCCTCAGGGCTGAACACATCTCCACACGTGCTCCGACCTCATATCCTCCCCCGAGATGGACATTTTACGTGGGAGTTTTGTGGCATAGAGCAATTCTGCTCGTCGAGTACTCTATTTCTAATTTCGTTATTAAATATTTAAGTCTTATAAACAGTAGTTATTATATATATTTACTGTATGTAAGCAGTTCTGAAATTTTGCAGACATGTGTTTGTATCACTTCTTTCTCCTCAGCATGCCAAGTTGCTTGTTCGTGTTCATATTTAATAAATAAATGCAAAATTTTATCAGACCATTCTCAAAAATTCAAAAACAGGCTGACTTTGCCCCCACCACCTTACTATTATACTTATTCTAGCTTCATTTGCCTCAGGTTCATTAACTAACACTATACTTTCTGATTAATATTTATAATCTTTTTATAAATTACATTTTCATTTTTTTTTTTACCTTTTACTTACTTTGAGAAAAACAGTAACATCACTTAGCTCTTTCCTGATATATCACAGGGTTAAAATCAAGCTATTTTAATTTTTTAACTATATTTTCTGAATTGCATATTTCTGTAATGTATAGACCCTGAACTCCATCTAATTAAAATTGTCTGGGGAGTCTGCATATAGACTCAGGTATTCCCCAAAGACCATCAGCAAAAAACACATGAATCCTCCATGGTCTTTGGGAAGTGACAAGAAGCTTAAAATATTTTTGGATTAATCATTAAAAGGTGATGAATTTTATCTGTGAGACATTCTCAAAGAAAGACTTTATATAGTTTTATCTCTTGTGTCAGCCAGCAGAGAGGATGTATTTGAGAGTTTGTGTGAATACTCTTATTTAAGAAGAGACGTGTGTGTGTGTGTGTGTGTGTGTGTGTGTATACATGTACATAAAGCTACTGTGCTTTTGTCCCTTAAGCTATCATAAAATTGAGGAGATGATGTTCAAATATTAATCAATTCAAATTGGTGGTAAATGTCAGTAAACACAAAACAGAATGTTTGGGAAATGCTACTATCCTTCATCAGTGTCAAAAAATAGGTATATAATGACGACTTGTGATAGCAATGTAGGTTGTGTGAGGCCCTGAATCTATTAGGCATTCAGCAGCAATATCTATTAAGGAAAGCTCTCTCCCGTCTATCCTTCAGCAAGCATTACACATCGTTATCATTGCCCTTGTAAACCTCCATCTATTGAGTCCCACAGTAGCTTGAGGGATATAAGTAGATTCAAGTTTACAAGGAGAATTTTGACTGTTTGATTATTTGTTGTTGTGTGTTTCTTGAAGAAAGGGATTCATTCCGTTTGGGCCAGGGTATCCTCAGTAATCACGTAAGTGGAGGGCATTTGGCCTTTCTTATATTTCCAATGCAGAGAGAGATTTCATTTAACACAGAGACACTGTGCATAAAGCTTCGTTAAGAGAAAACACGTGCTTATAAGTTTGTCTATATAAAGTCTCTTAAATTTCACACCTAATTCATTTTAGTTGGATGTGAGTCTTTTAAGTAAAAATCTCCTCATGCCTTTTTGGCTGGTTGGTTGATTGGTTAGTACGCGGTTACACTTTAAAAAGAGATGGCAGGGGTGCCTGGGTGGCTCAGTCGGTCGAGCATCCGACTTCGGCTCAGGTCACGATCTCGCGGTCCGTGAGTTCGAGCCCCGCGTCAGGCTCTGGGCTGATGGCTCAGAGCCTGGAGCCTGCTTCCGATTCTGTGTCTCCCTCTCTCTCTGCCCCTCCCCCATTCATGCTCTGTCTCCCTCTGTCTCAAAAATAAATAAATGTTAAAAAAAAAAAAAAAAGAGGTGGCATATTTTAACATGAATTAAAGGCAGTTTCTCTGAATTACAGCCAGTCATTTACAGAGTAGAAAGTCCACAGAGTTAAATGTCAACTTTGTATCATGTTTTTGTGGTCTTTCACTGTGTGTCTTACATGTGTGTCTTTTAGTGTAGTGTTTGCAGTGTATTCTAGAGAACCCTGCTTAGATAGAAGCTAAATGTTCCTAACTCTAGTTTTAAAATGTTATTTAGTTCAAAGGCTAACCACATTTTCTAGTCTGAAATGAGGATTACGTTAGCCACAAAGAAAGTGGGACGTGGGTCCCGCTTACAAAACAGTGGCGGCACGGAGTGGGGGAGAATAGGGAGGACTGCCAAGTCCACAAGCTAAGGGAAGGCAAGGCGGGATTTTCAGAATGCATCTGAGAGGGCCCTCTCTACAGTCTTAGCCAGAAGCCCAGATTATAACACGGATTACGGTGGAACTGCTACAGGTTAGCTGCCTTAGTTTAGCCAGAGGCCTTGCCATAGCACTTGTCAGAGTCTGTAAAGCCTACATACCCTTCCCTCCCCCCACTGCCTTCCTTCCCTTCACTAGTTCACTACTTCTTTAATCAATAAACATTTATTTGGCATCTACTGTGAGCCAGACATCACAAGTAAGACTGACTAGGATAAATGCCACCAAATAAAACCAAAGGAGATGCAATGGGGAATCGTGAGAGAGCAAGGGAGCGTCAGAAGACACACATCCCGGGCAAAGGTTCATGGAGAAAGTATCGTTTGATAATTAACGATCCCGTAAAAAAGTCCCTTAATGTTTGGCCTTAAGGACTCTCTCCCACTGCTGCACTAAAGGGAATAGGGGATAAGTAGCAGGGCTTTAAATAATCCCATTTCTGAGATCTACATAAATTGTATTGTGGATTTTTAATTGAGAACATTTAAATTGATTAGTGTTTGATAACTGAGTTACAGACATCCAGTCAACAGTTTTAGTATAAGCATTCCAAGAGAACAAGGACCAAGTAGAGATTAAAGCTTATTTCTTTACTCGTTTATTCAGCAAATTCAGCAAAGCGGAATGGGAGAAGAAAAGGATGGATAAAGCAATTGGGTGAGTGTGGGATTTCATTCATATATAGAGGTTGTCAGTTGGAACTAGAACCGGAACAAAAATGTCCTAAGAACACTGTAAAGGACGACAAAGATGACGAGTGTCCTGATGGAAACACATAACCCAGTGAACTTTTAAAAGGATGTGTTTATATGTGTTTGGATCTATTTGTATGGTTCTATGGTACTATTTTCGCCTTTGGCCAAGTGACAATATTTAAAATGTTAAACTATATGCACATGATTTTCAGAAACCATCATTTAGGATTGCACTTGGTAGTTTTAAGGATTTTTATCAAGTATCAATTTATTGGATTATATAAATTTACTTTAGAAGTCTTTGTTTAAATTCCCCTTTGCATTCAAAAATATTGCTGAATGGAGAACTCCCTTTTTTAATGTGATGGGTTTGTGTTACTCTGAGACTTAAGTACTCAGTTCCATTTAATTTTTGATACGCATGTAGAAACGGAACTAGGAAATATACCCTGAGTGCTAAGATATTTATTTAAATTCTCCCCCATCTTAAAAGTAATATATAACTCATTATGGAAAATCTAGAAAATATAGGAAAGTAAACAAAAAAAAATATCACCTCAATCTTATTACTCTAAGATACCACAGTAATATCTGGTGGCATTTCATTCTCGCCTGTTTTTTGTGCACATCTGTGTGTATATAATAAAACCTGGCTTGTTTTATACATAATGTTTCCTACTTAAGTAGTCTTTAGAAATATAGTATTTATTGGCTGTAATATATCATAAGAGATTACCACAACTTATTTCACCAATCACCTTTTTTAGAATATGTGAATAGCTTCCATGTCTTTGCCATTATAAATAATGCTATAATGAGTACCCTTGGGTATAAAGCTCTCAGTTTCAGATTTTTTTCTCTTATATATTTAGAAATAAAATTACCCAATCAAAGCATATGGATTCTTAATTCCCTTGGTTACATTACTGGTATTTTGATAAGTTACGAAATTCAGGGTAAAGATAGGATAGAGAGGGAAGGCCAACCTTCCAATCTGATATCTTATAAGTCATTTAAAAATTAGGTTATATTTTTCAATGCTTATGTGACACACAGTTGGTTTTGTGGTTTACGCTTTACAGGTACTCATTTGCAATTGTGGGCATCAATATAACTGATCTGGCGTATAATCTACTGGTGAGCGGAGCGCTAAAAACTCACTTCTACAACATTGCCCCAGAAGCTCCAACACTGTCTCATTTCCAGCAAACATTTTGTAAGTGTCCTACTGCTTAAACAGCAATATAGTTTCTATGGAACACTCTACACAAGGGGCAAAGCGGAGAGATCTTTGCAATTTGGCTGCTTTGGGGTCTGTGAAGTTCCCCTTTGGTTTTGATTTTGTTGTCTTCTTCTTAAAATCCAACAGTGATATTTGCAGGCATCGTGGATTTTTCTCTTTCCCAGCTCTTGCTTAATATTCAGGGTATCAGCTTCTGGTCTGGGTGTCTCCCTCCCTCTGATCCAGCATGGCACAGCACTTAAGAGCCTGGGTTCTGAAGACAGCCTGAGTTGACTCCTGGGTCTATGCTTACCAGACTCTCTAAGCCTTAGTTATGGCATCTATAAGATGAGTTCTTTCCTTATAGAGTTGCCATGAAGATAAAGTGAGATAACGGACACAAACTTTTTATTAGCCAGTTCCACCCTTGGTGCTCAGGGAGCACGAGAAAGAGGGAGTGCTGGTTTCGTGGGTGATACTAAGAGTTGGTAGCGTTGCCACTGGTATTACTCTTCCTGCTTTCCCTACTCCTGCCACAGAGGTAAGATGTGTAGCCCCCCCGGATTAGATGCTGCAGAGGTAAGGATGAATGAGGGGTATGCTCTGGAGATGCAGTTATACTGAGGTTTCAGAAGATAAAGAACAAGATGATATGACAGAGCCCTGGAACGTTTTTCTCCATTCTTAGAGACATGATCCTAAAATCTGAATGTCATTACGATCCTTGAGGGCCAGACACAGACTGGTTTGGAGGAACATGGAAAGATGTTCTAAATCATCAAGCAACTCAGGCAGTTTAAAGGAGAAATGTCATCTAAACCATTTACACCACGCTTGCTGCACTGAGGGCCTTGTACCCAGGATTTCTTAGCAAAAAAAAAAAAAAAAAAAAAAAAAAAAAAAAAAAAAAAAAAAAAAAAAAAAAAAAAAAAAAAATTCTAAGTTTTTCCTCTATTTTATATTTCTTTCAGCTCTTCTTTTCTGCTAATTTGCTAAGCAGTTCTGCCGCTCTAAGTATGGTTAAGACACAGATGCTCATCTCAAATCCACCGCAGGGGCATGCTGGTCCCCATTTCATTTTTACAATGTGACAGAATTAACAGCAATTTATTTTCTCTAAACTCCTAAATTAATAGTGAGTCTATTATCTAGCATTTTGTCTTTTTAAATGTCTGCTTAATCAGGACTTCTGGTTAATGATGGCATACTTAATGCATTTAATTCTGCTCCCTTTTAAAACTTCACTGAAGTTGGGGTGCCTCGGTGGCTCAGTCACTTAAGCATCGGACTTCTGCTCAGGTCATGATCTCACAGTCCGTGATTTTGAGCCCTGCGTCAGGCTCTGTGCTGACAGCTCGGAGCCTGGAGCCTGCTTCAGATTCTGTGTCTCCCTCTCTCTGACCCTCCCCAGTTCAAGCTCTATCCTTCTGTGTCTCAAAAATAAATAAACATTAAAAAAATTTTTTTTTAACTTCACTGAAGTTAATGTAGAAGGATTTTTTCCAAGAAAGCATGAACCCACAAGGACAGGAAAAATCAAGAAGCAATAAAAACCTCATTTTAGAAACTGGAAAACAGATTAAGTGATAACTGATTTAGTAGTCCTGAGAAAATAAATCCCAAACAGGTAGTGTGGAAAGGTAAGAAGCAACCTGATTTACTCCACAGGACCTCCCAGGAGGTTCAGGAAGCCTGTCACAGGAATGAAGTACAGAGAATTTTCAAAGACAAAGGTGAAGGAAAAGCTCCAGGTGATATCTGTGCAGCAGGATGAGAATATTAAACCTAGACTTTAACAGGTCAGAACGCTCTGATAGCAACTCTTTGAAGAATATAAAACTGATGGGAGTGTCTAACCTTGTTTGAACACACTGCAAAGATACTGGCCTGGTTTAGAGTGAAGTTGGTGAAAACTAAGCAAATAAACAGAGAGGGCAGTTGGTAATACCACACAAAGGAAATTGTTAGGAAACACGTGATAATGTGGTTGGAATTGGGTGAAAGAGAGTGAAATCTTCATCTTCTTCTAAGGGAAGTCCAAAAAATTCACGCAATGGAAATCACATTGTATACAGTCATGGAAGTCGATGATCAAAATAATCAGCAAAAAAGATGAAATGTTCCTTTAGGGAAGCAGTCAGTAAGGCAGGAAGTGCTGCTGGGTTTTGTTTAGTTTTTGTAACAAGACTTGTTAAACTGTATGACTCTAAACTATATGCATGTATAACTTAGATAAAAATTAAGAGCAAATTTAGAAATACATATACTTTATCACTGGTTAATAGTGGAAAATGGCAGCCCCTCAAATATATGATTATAGCTCCTACTCTGACAACTAGGTGATTATATTCAGTCTGACCATTTCTGGCAGATACTGAAGTTTTACTATAGATTGGGTTCTGTGCATCTAAAAAAAATTAATTAAAACATAGTGGGAAGAATTTTGTGATTGGGAAGTAAAGATACTGTTTTTAAGAAGTGAAAAGGCTCAGGGTGCCTGGGTGGCTCAGATGGTTAAGCACCTGATTTCAGCTCAGGTCATGATCTCACAGCTTGTAAGTTGGAGCCCCATGTCAGGCTCTGTGCCTGACAGCTCAGAGCCTGGAACCTACTTCTGATTCTGTGTCTCCCTCTCTCTCTGCCCCTCCCAGGCTTGTGCTCTCTTTCTCGCTCTCAAAACTAAACATTAAAAAAAAATTTTTTTAATTGAAAAGACTTATGGCTGACACAGCTCACTCAGTCTGGGAGTCAAGGAAAACTTGCCAAAACAGAATGACTTTTAGTTTCAGGCATTCTGAGGGTGAGTTTCTGTTGGGAAATCCTCACAGAGCTGAACAGTGGGCATTCCAACGTAAGGCCCTGGAACTCTGAGGAATTACAAGTCCAGATTTGGGATTCATCAGCATTGAGAGGAAAATCAGAGCCACACAGTGGGGGCGCTCTGGCAGGAGAAAATCAAAATGAGAATCATAGGAATTGGCATTTAAGGACAGGCATTTTGTTGTTTGTATGCACTACTGTATCCTCAGCAAAGAGCCTGGGAGAGTAGGTGCTCAGTAGATATTGGTTGGTTGGTTGGCTGGGTGGCTGGTTGGCTGGTTGGTTGGTTGGTTGGATGGTTGGATGGATGGTTGGATAGATGGATGGATGGACGGATGGACGGACGGACGGATGGACAGATGGATGGATGGTTGGTAGGATGGGTGGTTGGATGGATAGATGGATGGATGGATGGATGGATGGACGGATGGACGGATGGATGGACAGATGGATGGTTGGATGGTTGGATGGATGGATGGTTGGTTAGATGGATGGATGGATGGATGGTTGGATAGATGGATGGATGGACGGATGGATGGACGGACGGACGGACAGATGGATGGATGGTTGGTAGGATGGATGGTTGGATGGATAGATGGATGGATGGATGGATGGATGGATGGATGGATGGACGGATGGATGGACAGATGGATGGTTGGATGGATGGATGGTTGGTTGGATGGATGGATGGATGGATGGATGGATGGTTGGATGGATGGATGGATGGATGGATGGATGGAGAGGAAGCTAAAATAAAGGATAATGTCTTTTGTAGAAGAAAGGAAGCTTAGCTCCACACTGAACATGGAGACTGCTTAAGATTCTCTCTTTCTGTCTCTTTCTCTTTCCACCCCTTTCCTCTGCCCCCTCTGCAACTCTCATTCTCTCACGTACACACTTTCTCTCTCTTTCTCTTAAAAAAACAAAGAAAAGAAAAGAAAAAAAGAAAAGAAAAGGAAAGGAAATCTAGTTTCTCATGAAAAATTTAGCTTTTGGCCTTAAGTGATAGGTTTTCAAGAGAACCCTAGCCAAGGTAAGTGGCATGCAGTAGGGTTACTCATTTCCCAAGACCCTCACCAGTTTTTCAGAAAGCACACAATCCCCCTGTGAACTGGGGTATACGCAGAGGGACTCACACCTCTTCAGAGGAAGCACCCTGTGCCCTGAATTCATTGTCCCTCCATCGGACAAGAGCAGTTCTGCACGTTTCCTCTGTAATATTCTTGCAATTACTTGTGTCCTTGCTTATGTGTATGCTGTCTACTAAGTGAATGCAGCGAAGCAAAACCAAGATACATTCAAACAACAACAAATACACTGCAGGCTTGGGCTGGAAAGCCAAATTAGTATTCTAAACAGGTATTTCATCTAGGTGAAAAATGTAAGAGAATAATAGCTCTATCATTCTGACTTTATAGTAGTATTCAGCGAATACTGCACTACGAGGCAGTATGCTACGAAAACTGCATTCAGTCTAAAGCTTCCCTGAAATGAAGCAAGGTGAGGTGTCATGAGCACAAGGAAAAGTACAGTGACCAGAAAAGGAAAAAGAATGATCTTTCCTTTGACCTTCAGAAGCGACTATTCAGTAAGAGTAAGAACCAGAGGAAGAGGGTACACTGGAAGAGGCAGCAGGTACAGTGGTGGAGAGTCAGCCAACTTCAGGTTCTGGCTTCCAGCTTCCAGCTGTATTGTGGGATTGTACATCATTTAAATACCTTTTCTAAGCCCAATGTTCTCATCCGTAAAATGAAGCTATATCTGCACTGCCTACTCCACAAAGCTGTTGTGAGAATTAAGAAACTATAAGCAATAGTCTGGCCTCTGTTTCCTCCCTCTGCTTTCCACACCATTTTGTTAGCTTTCTCAGCTAATAAATCATCACTGGCAATTGTCTACCTGGGTGTCTCTTCCAAGAGGTAGAGAATTGGGGGACACAGGAACTCTACCTTTTTCTTGTATCTGTTGCATATGTGTTACCTGGCAGATGAGCCAACTGGCCAACTGACTGAATGGATATAGGAACACTCTGTTCATATAAAAATGAGTTGAGTTTTACAATTATCATGTGTACCCTGGAAGCCAAGCCACCATTTCTGCATTTTGATTCAGTCACTGTTCTCCTGATGGGACAGCTTCACTTTTGTAGCTTCTTAAGAGGAAGGATCCTGAGAGTGGGGTCAGATTGTTAACCACCCACCTCTAGTCTTATCCTTGCCTGTCTTTAAAACCTTTCAAAATGTCTTTCTGTAACTGCATTTAAGGTAGAAAAATGGGGAAACCAAATGGGTCTGCATTCTTCTAACACTCTGAGCTACACAAGATCACCTTAGAGTCAGTTGCCATCATACCAGCACATTGTAGAGAAGAGTGAACATTTTCATGTGTCTGATGGGAAAGTAAATTCTTCATTAGAAGATGATTTTCCCAGTGCCTGTTCATTGTTGTTGATAAGGATAAAGACCGTATAACTCATGAGATACTGATAAGATGCTTTTAGCTGATTATGTATAATTTTAAATTTTTTTTTCAACGTTTATTTATTTTTGGGACAGAGAGAGACAGAGCATGAACGGGGGAGGGGCAGAGAGAGAGGGAGCCACAGAATCGGAAACAGGCTCCAGGCTCTGAGCCATCAGCCCAGAGCCCGACGCGGGGCTCGAACTCACGGACCGCGAGATCGTGACCTGGCTGAAGTCGGACGCTTAACCGACTGCGCCACCCAGGCGCCCCATGATTATGTATAATTTTAATTCGAAGTATTAGAAGTCTGACTCTACAAAACAACTCAGGCACATTTACTTGAGCTCAGAGGCTAAGTCAGGAAGATTATGTATATTATATAGCACAGGAGGAAGAAATTATAAATTATCGTAAGATTTCACATAGACCCACAAAAAAATATAACATTTAGAAAAAAGCCAAAGGAACTTAAAAAGATGGCATCTTCTAGAACAATGGATCTGAAACTTTAGTGACCTGAGACTCATCTTACTCAACTGTGGTTGAATGAGAGGTCTGTATTTTTAAAAAGTACCTCATAACATTCTCAGGATACTTCAGGACTTTGCCCAGTCACTGAAATGGACACATGATTGAATTCTTTTGGTTGAATAAGATATTGAGATTAGAGGAAACAACTTCCTCTTGATGTGCATGAAAACAACCAGAATAATAAGCAGACTCCTGATCATGGCCTGTGTGTGAGAAATGGTGAGGAGAAATAGGGATGCTTAGCCTAGAAAAGAGAGAAGTTCAGGGCATAAAAGACACTTCAAATATGTGAGTTGGAGAAGGATTGAATTTGTTCCAAGAAATACAGGGTAACAGATTTTGGCCCAGTGTAAGGAAAATCCCTTTAAAAACCAGGTTCTTCATCCATGGGACAGGCTAATGTCGGCACTGTCACCAGAGGAGCTCAAGGCCGGACGCTGCCTCAGGGAATCCAAGCAGCAGATAGAGTAGGATGGATAGGACCGCTCCTGGGATTGCTGATCTGGGGTTTCCCAGATGTGATCAGGTTTCCTTAACAGTGGCAGTGGGCCCTGGGCTGTGTGACCCAGAGGCCTTTGAGTCAGCACTGATGTGTGTCCCCATGGAGAGACGTTGAAAACAGTCACATCAGTTATGTGCGGAGGGCCCGATATAAATCTAATCCTAAAAGAAATGCAATGGTCAATCCCCACAAAAAGCAAACCAAATTTTCTCCCTCCTTACTACCTTTCTTCCTGTAGTTGTAGAGAGACTATATACTTAAAGATGTATAAGCATATTTAACAGCATAATGAATGAGAAACCAGGGAAGTTTGTGCAAGTGGACCAATATCTGTAAGTGTGTGTTGGGGGTGGAAGGAAGGTCACTTCTAATTTTGTATTACAGCAAGATAGGGTAGAGATTTTTAAAAATCTGTTTGTGGACCAATGTTCAAGGTTTTCTCGTAAGTAGCTAGTTAATAAATAGAAAAACAAGTGGCTTTAATTTTTACTTTTTACTATTAGGACTTAACATGTTTGTTCCAAAATTCTCTTCCCATACCCCCCATCATCTCTCTGCTCACTCCCTCCCCAGTGGAAAGAGCTAGGATTCTAACCAGGTTTCTGGCTCTGGAATCCTTGCTCCTTCTAATGCTAATACCAAGAAAAGCTTCTGTAATGTTTTGTTTTGTTTTGTTTTGTTTTTTAAGTACGATTATTTTCTTAAGTACTTTTTTCCTAATATATAACAAGACACTTGAACTTGTTATAGGTTTACTACATACAAGTATCTTTTATTGTCTTCTTAAAAAGCTATTCACATGTCATGTCAGTTCTAAATGGGGGCGGGGGGAGGGGAGGGAGGCGGTGCACAGTGGGGAAAACAGCACAATGAATAGATTCAATACTTAGCGCTTATTCCGAAAACGTTCCCAATCCATTTTATTCATAGATAACGTTTTTGAGACACAGAAGTATTTGAAGAGGACATCATGCTTCAGAGCAAGAAGGTCTTAGTAACAATTTCATGTAGTTTAATGACTGCTCTGTGTTGTTCAGAGTTGATTTACAATTTTTATTGTCTCATAATAGACTGTCAGAACACATTTGTTTGATTTGTCAGAGTAATTTAAAGCTTTTCTCAAATCAAGTAACGAGAAAAAATGCTGAGTGGAGTAATTCTGAAAAATCAGGCATTATGTTAATTTAATCAGGAGGGGCAGGATGAAGTGGTCACTGTCAGCCCCTCAGGTTCTGCTCCAGACGTGGTGCACATTCCAGAGACGGCAGAACTGTCTGTCTCCCTCCTTCAGTACAGGGACAATAATCCCAGGACCAGCCGCAAAAATCTTGCAGACTGGTAGTTTCTACTGCATGAATTTTATTTCATTTTTTTTTATATAATTTATTGTCAAATTGGCTTACCTACAACACCCAGTGCTCATCCCAATAAGCGCCCTCCTCAATGCCGGTCACCCATTTGCCCTCTCCTCACCCACGGGTTTTAAAGAACAATCCATAACAGGAGTATCTGCTGCATTTCGACCTCTTCTTTGAGCCCCGGGGTTGCCGTCAATTGACCAATTGATCGGACATCTCTTTCAGCATTCAGTGACTCTGAATGTGATTAAGGACTTTTTTCTTTCTCCTGCAATCTTATCACTGTCTTCTCTGTAACAGGCTACTTGATGCACGAGTTTCACAAGTTTTGGATTGAAGAGGACCCCACGGACATCATGGAATTCAATCGTGTGCGGGAGAAATTTCGCAAGAGGATCATAAAACAGCTGCGGAACCCAGACATGGCATTGTGCCCACACTTCGCTGCCTCAGAAGGTTTGATCAACATGTAGTCGCGCATACTGGTTTTAACGGATACCCCCGGAACACTGCCTCATTGTCGTGTTAGTTCCCTGCTTAGGTCCCAGCTCATACACTGAGTGCACACAGTGATTGTATGCATGCCTTTTGGTACGGTACTTTCATCTCTGGGTCACAACTACCAGATCCCCAGATATCACCGCTTCTGGAGTATCTGCCATCCAGTGACTGTTCATGTTGTGGCATTATGCAGTGTTACATTTGCCTTGACACCCAAGTATGGAGAGAGTTTTCTATTTTTTTAGATTGTTTTCCTCCCCCTCATCATTCAGCATCGAAGAACTGTATTTCTCTAGCTGTCTTTTGTATGTGAGAGATCTAGCAGACTCTTGTTCTGTGAAAGCCTTTTAATTTATTGATCCGTCTCATGACTACCGCTGCTAGCTCTTCGGGCCGGGTTCACGCTTGGACCTCATTCCACTAAAGTATATGACTTGCAAATAATACAGACAGACACATGATAAACCAAACCATTCCTGCAAACACAGCTGCGCTTCATGACGATGTAACGAGGCTTACGAGAAGCAGATTTAGGTAGGTGCTGTTTTTGTCCAAAGTACCGCAGAATTATACTGTAACTTATCCCCAGTTGCGATTGTATCCTAGTCGTATGGATATCAAATTATTTTATCCCCCTAATTTTACTGGCTTGGATGCCTAAATATGTTTATGATGCTTGGAGCCTCAGAAAAGAAGTATGCACGCTTCAAAAGCTACAGAAGATTTTTCACTGCCTGCCTCTTGCTGAACTCAGTTACACCCTGGCACTCTTCTGATCCAAGCATCTGTGCTTGGGGAACTGAGTGCTGACTGGTTTATTTTTAATGTCAAGAGGTTATATGAAAAAAAACAATTTGCAAGAAAATGTGTTGCAAGAGAGGGACCTAAGGTGTGTCCTTCTGTAGTATTTCTTGAAAATAATGACCTTGTCTTGTATCAGTGAAAAAAGTAAATGGCTTGGAGGGGGGGGAAAATCACATCATTCCAAAACTGCTAAAAATCATTTGAAAGACCATGATTTCGTTTGGAATTATGATTGTAGTCTGTTGAATAGTATTTACCATGGCATTTCATACCCATGGTATTTTATACCTTCTATCGATTTTAGTATGATTAGATGTTTGTGTAACCACTTGCTTACTTAAATGAATTTTGAGTACTGCCTAACTGTCAGTTATATGAATAAATTACATGTCATTCTACTGTAATGTGTAGTGGATTTCATTTTAATATTTTTGTGCTCCCACAGCCTCTGAATATGCAAAGATGTGAGTGGGTAGAATGTCAAAGACAGACAACCTAGAGCTGAATATAAATCACGCCATCATTCCGAGTAACCAGGTGTAAATTACAGTGTGTCATATCTGAGAGACTTCTTTTGTTTAACATTGAGGCCTGATGGTGCTTTAATGAAAGAATAGGATCCAGCCTTTTCTTTGTAACCTCCTTATAAAGCCTGGATTGTCCATGGGAAGACAACTGATAAAGGAAACATTAAGCTACCTTTGTTTCCTTGTCCATTCTAGCTCCTCTGGGATTTTGCTATACGTCCTCTTTCAGCTGGGTACCAGGTGGCATCGTTCGCCCGGCCTCTATTACAGCCCTGTGCCCTTCTACACAGTGCAGAAGGAAAGGACCTGATTAACGCATGACATGTATCTTGAGGAACGACAGAGTGAGAATGTGTGAACCTGGTAAATGGCCTGTCTTGGGAGCCCCGAGTTTCTACCGCAGCTGCGGCTGCTGTGTGTGAAGGCTACGTTGTCTCTTTCTATCCACTGTGGCCCTGTGTCACTGATGCGGCTTGACAGTATGTGGCATTTACACCACCTCACGTCTCTTCTGCTCAGGTAGAGACAGCTGATGGTAACAAAGCTGGAAGTTTTCTCTCCCAGCTCCTCGCACGATTCCGCTCAGTCATATCTTAACATGGCTGCAGAATTTTAGGATGGGCTGCCGGCTCCTCCTAGTTGTGAGTACTTTTACTGGTCCTGAGTATTATCAGACTTCTTGTTCACACCTGCTTGTGAAAGATGCGTTCTGCCCAGTAACATGAAGGGAAGCAAGAAAAAGAAGAGAAGGGTTTCAGAAGCTTCAAAAAATGTGTGATGTGCATGTGTTTTCCCCTTGAGCATTCTTAGCTCGTGTATACTTACTCCACTGAACAAGGGTTGACCACTTAGAATGTAAATCATGTAGCAAGCCTCTTCCAAGTTTTCCAAAACATTGCTTGCTATGATAAAAACACATTCTAGTTTTCACTACAGAAAGAAAACCCTTTGAAGCACCGTTTTTGAAAATTATGACTTCAATTTGACTTTCCTTGTCACAATTCTTGTTATTGTACTGAAAAAATATGTTTTTGCCTGATAATCCACCATCTTTTCTACTTGAAAACTTAAATATATACCTATCCCAAAATATAGGATGCCCTTACGATATATCTTCTAAGCTCAAGATACTTTTGAGAAAAAGAAGAGGATGCTGTGAGTAATTTCTCCAGGACAACAGGGTAAACTGACAGTCTGAGGAAATGGAGATGTTAGGTGGCTGGGAGAGACCAAGAAACAGACTTAAGTAGGGACTGTCCACCCACGACTCAGACAAATGCAACCTGATTTCTTCACATTCTAACCTCTGGGAGAAGTACATCACAGGGACATGGACATTGTGATATCTAGGATACTAGCAACATCTTAAAGACCCATCAGAGGGGCACCTGGGTGGCTCAGTCGATGAAGTGTCCAACTTCAGCTCAGGTCATGATCTCACAGTCTGTGAGTTCGAGCCCTATGTTGGGCTCTGTGCTGACAGCTCAGAGCCTGGAGCCTGCTTTGGATTCTGTCTCTCTCTCTCTGCTTCTCCCCTGCTCATGCTCTCTCCCTGTCTCTCAAAAACAAATAAACATTAAAAAAAAAAAAAAAAAGACCCATCAGAGGCATGAGGTTTATCTGAGAAGGTCAGGTGAATAGGCTGGGCTTATGGGAAGTCAACAGTAGGAGAAACAAAAACCCAGTAATCAGACTCCATGGCCACAGATAATCTTGATCTGTAAACAGATGGGGCAGATCCAAACTGAAGAAATATCAGGAGAGGATGAGAGTTGGTGAAGTGTGGCAATCAGGGATGGGAAAGAGAAGAAAAGGGGGACGGGAAAAAAAGAGTCAGCCAGATCCATAACCATATCTAGGAAACTTTGAGCCACAGTGACGTCCTCTATCAAAGCGATGCCTCTAACCCTTGAGGAGGCTTGGAGTAACTGCTCTATAATCTGCAGACCACGGCAGAAGAGCAGAAGCGAGAGTAACACTGGGTCCTAGAATGAAAGGGGTTCCGGGATGGACTCCATCTCAAGAACTAACGTTCGGTGAGTGCTGATGCCATGTGCCAGGACCATGCTGGCCTTTATCTGCATTATTCCATCCCCTCATGAACATACAAAGTGAGATTGCTTACTTGCTTGTTTTTCTAGACAAACAGGCTTACAGAATCAAATACATCGCCAGACATCTCAAGAGAGTGAGATATCACCTCACGGAGCAAAGTGTTGGTGAGGATGTGGAGAAAAGGGAACCCGTGTGCACTTGCTGGTGGGAATGCAAACTGGTGCAACCAGAGGACCCCCAAGAAGTTAAAACTAGAACTAGCCTATAACCCAGCAATTCCACTTCTGGGTCTTTGTCCAAAGGACATGAAAGCACTAACTCAGACAGATATCTGCACTCCCAAGCTGACTGTAGCATTTTACTTAAAATAGCCAAGGCATGAAAACGACTTACATGTCCATCAAAGGACGAATAAAGAAAACATGGCATATGTATACAATGGAGTATTGTTCATCCATAAAAAAGAAGGAAATTCTGACATCTGTGACATGGATGGGACTTGAGGGCATTATGATGAGTGAGATAAGCCAGACAGAGAAAAGCAAATTTCTCTCACTTATATGTGGAATCTAACAAAACCCTGAACTCATGGATACAGAGACATACTGTGGTTGCCAGAGCAGGTGGGGGAGGCTGGGTGAAATGGGAAAGGCTGGTCAATAGGTACAGAAAAGAAGAAAAACTAAACGGCACAGCTAGATCTCGAACCCAGGGCCTGAAGCCCCAACTTTTCATCAGTATGCATCTCCCTAGTTGGAATTATTCTCCACTGCCCAGGGTAGATTATAAACACATACACGCCCCCTACCCCTCAAGGGGTAATATACATGTAAATAACAGTTCTTGCCGGGCGTCTTTAGGGTGAATTCACGTGTGGCAGATTACAAAGATTACAAATCCTGCCACACTGTCCCTCAGGACGTCACCCACTCTTGCTCAGAATTTCTTCCTTGATACACAAAGAACGATTCTGACAGGACTGTAAGCTCTCTCCTGAGAGTCCGGGAAGCCTGCACGACTCCTCCAGACTCCCCTGTGGGAAACTTCAGTGAGGCTCCTCGGTGGGTCTGCAGAGACTGGACTGCAATATGCTCACATAGATGGTTAGGAGAGGGGTCGGGGCAGGGTTACAAAAAGTAAAATGTTGACTCAGTGCCTTTCTATTATTCTATCTATTATGTACCCGGAACTGTGGTCTGCTATGCAAAAGAGGCCACAGATGAAAAGCCAATGGCAATAGGTGAGTGTCGCAAAGAGAAGAGAAAGCTGAGATTCCACCTACAAAACAGTCAAACCCCCTCCGTCAGGCAAGATGGGTCAAGGGAGGTCCCTTTGAGACTGCCACCCCCCATAACAATAGCTCGGATGAAGTCCACAGCATCTCCAGGCATTGTCTTGGAAGAGGCTTCATCAGGGAAATTTCTAAAGCAAGGGTTAGCAAGAGAAAAGAAGATGTGAGCACACCCCACATCCCAAGGCACAGCAGGGCCTGCGTGCTATCTAGACACACTGTAGGTCCGAGTTCCCTGCTGTCCGCCCTTCTCTCAGGACAGGCCTGAAAGCAACCTCGGGGGAGGTGGTGACCT